GGGGGGGGGGGGGGGGGGGGGGGGGAAAAGTGGAGAGTACATAGGAGTGGTGGTGGAATGTCAAAAAGAAGGGGGAAAAAAAACAAGGGGGGGAAAGAAAATGGTGTGATGCGCCACCGTGTGGGCAGTGCAGAGAAAAACAAACAAGGGTGATGGTTGAAGGGGGGAGAGGGGAGGGTGGGGGGGGTGAGAAAACGGTGCCAAACAGATTGTGAGAGAGAGAAGAGAAAGAAAGGTGAGATTATTACACACCGTGCAACATGCAAGACAAAATACCACCTCTTTGTATACAGATGCTCAGACTTTTAAGTGATACTACAGCCAGCGAGGGGGGGAAATTCGCTGACTCCGCTCAAACTGAAACACTCTGAGGGATTGTCTCAACGTAAATGTTTGGAGGTACAAGGAAATGGTATTTCGGCTCGGCAAACTATCAAAGTCAACACCTCGGTAAAAAAAAAGCTTGTCAAACGCACGGCATGCATGATTCTTTAAAGCCTACTCAGTAATAAGTGAAGCCATGCTCTTAAAAAGAAAGCAGCTGACTACTTTTCATTATTCATAGTTTCCGGCTGCTTTTTTTTTTCTTCCTCTCTTTTAGAGAGTTGTGCTGTCGCTGTGGTGTTTACCCGGGGTACGTGGGGATGGCGGGCTGCGGGACGGCCGCCCTGACGGCGCTGTAGACGGGTCGGGCGCGGCCGCGGAGGTGAGCGCCCCGAAAGGTGGCGGCCGTGGAGGCGGCAGCTGCTGCTGCTGCCGGGTACGGAAACCCTGGCACTGACACAGAAAAAAAGACGGGACGGAGTTCAGACAGAACCCCTCGCTCTATATTTCATCACAGGAGTACAGTACAGGATCCGACAAAGGTATTTTATCTCACTTTTGACAAAAGAGCCCGATTGTAACTTTCGATTATGACTCTTCCTTCCCCCCCAACATAACACTCCTCCTTCCCCACACACACACACACACACTAAAACTTCCCCCCATGGACATGGACAATACACGCACCTTAGTTTAGCTCTGTCTTCAACTCAATCGTTTCTTTTTGCAATCAACTCAGTGCAATATTCATTGATGTTTCTTTTGTAATAACTCTGCGCAATAATATGTATATATATGCTTTGACACTGTATATATCTAGATCTTAGATATAGAAAACATATTTATTAAGTAGGAATAAGGTCTTAGCTCTATCACACTGCTAGCCAAGTAATCGACATTTCGTTGTCAAAATTCACCTTGTGTTTTTTGTACAATGACAATAAAGGAAGTCTAAATCTAAGTCTGACTGTGATGACCAAATTTTTGTTCCTCGAAAAGAAAATTCATCAAAAAAACATACATAAAAAGCTAAGCTTGCACTTGGTGCCTCACCTGTGTAGAGCTCCGGGCTGTACATTGCTCCAACCATGGGACTCAACTTCCAACCAGCTATGATGAACGAAAACGACAAAAAATCAAAGCAACTTTTGTGAGGAAACTTCTTTTAAAGTCAGAGCAAATCAGATTTGGAGAGCTGCACAGAAACATGAAACACGTGTTACACAATGCAGGTTCCAGAATTGACCTCTTATGCATGTCATTGCTTATATCTGCTGTATTTTAGGGCTTTATAAACTTGCCACCTGGTTGGTGGCCTCCCATCCATCAGCCACTAGTGAGCCTCGTACAATCTCACCTGGGAAAGCTCAAACTTAGCTCAAGCAGAGGTGGCTTTAGCTGTTTGTTTTTTTAACAGTTCGTGAGTTTTTTTTAACCTACATTACGCATTTCATCTGGACGCATTTCATCATGTTTTGAAGATAAGTGTTTATGTTAACTGTAGATCTTGGCTATAAAGTGCTCTTTTTTACTGTAAAAATCATTCAAATAATATAATAAGTACTTATACACAACAAAATCCCACAATGTAGTGGAAAATATGTAACACAAAATTATGATGAGGGCCTATTATAGTTAAGGAATCTAATAATTTTTTTAATGCAGAGTAAATAATGAATATATTTTCTCTAAAGTTGGAGATGATCTACTATTCTAGGTGAGCAAAAGTAGACCTTTTTTTCCCATTTCCAACCCAATGGAGTTGGATAACTGTCAAAAGTTTTGGGTTTGTAGATTTGTATTGGTAACAACAACCATGTTGAACACAAGATTTACTCTCACATAAGCAAGTCCCTTGACCTACCAATAAGAATACAAATCTACAAATACGAAACCTTGGACAGTTCTAATTCTATGCAACCCTACTTATTTTCATAGGGTTTTGTGCAAAATGGGCATGTTTTGACACAAACTCGGGAAGTAGGAAAAAAAAACCAAAAAATCGTCTATTTGTTCAAAAAGGCCTCAGTGAGCGAGATGCGTTACCGTATGGCAGCGCTGCCAGGCCCTCGCCGTTAGAATACGGCGTGGTCATCTTCTTGTTTGTCATCACTCGGGCTGTGGCGTTATTGACCTGCACACCAAACAACAAAAAGTTCAGATCCAATTTAACACATTCCTAGTGGCTTCACAAGTGTTGGCGATCTAAAAAAAACACTGCAGGGTCGAATCTATCGTAAACAGAGTGAAGACGGGAGCCGTCATGGTAAACTTCTGCTTTTTCCGGAGAGGTGTCCTTAATGTTCTAACGGTTCTTTACTCATGACAAGGTTAATTCTGTTGATGAGCAGCCAATGGTGTTTGATGCATGCGCTTCTTTAGAAGAAGAAAGACAAAGAAAAACGAGGATCCTGGTGAGTAGTCGGGCGGTTTTGCGCACAAAACGATGCAACCATTGCCATAGAGAACAAAGAAACCAGCAAAAAACATTTCAGAGCAAAAGCATTCAAAAGGAAATCCAAGGCCATTTTTTTTTGTTTTTGCTGCTAAATCATGGAGGGGAAAAGAAGGTGAATTAAGCAGCAGATTCATCAGTTTACCACAATGCAAAAAACAAACAAACAAAAACAAACCAAACTACGAAAGAAGAGTTTGTACACAAATTACACACAGCCAATCAGGAGCGCATCACATCTCCAGAGGTGAGCAAAACCAGCCAATCAGCAAGCATCAAATGCAGCAAGAGACCGATCGAAAAGAGGTTGGACGCCCTCCCAATCGAATGCACATCATACAGAAGAGAGAGAGAGGAGGGACAGAGAACAACAGAGGAAAGACAGAAATAGAGGGATGCAGAAAGAGATGCCAGTCCACGTGAAAGACAGAAAAATACAGACAATGTGGCGAAGAGAGAGGCAACAATCCATCCAAATATGCAGTCCTTCTAAGGAAGGCTCAAACAATAAGATGCAACCGACACACACACACACAACACACATCTGAGCGTTTGTCTGCATTGGATCTAACTGTACATGGGCAATGATGGCGAGAGGATGAATGGTGCAAGAATAAACACGGAGAGAGGAGAGGCAATGATGAGAGAGATAGAGAGAGAGAGAGGATGGGGGATGCAAATATCATTCCTCAAAAAAAAAAGAAAAAAAAGAAGAAAAAAAAAAGGTAACAGAAATTAAAATACCAAATGAAACCGTAGCAGTGAAACACTGCCAGGCATTTTTTCAGATCAGTGTCGCACACCAGAAACACCTTGTAGCACACAACCACCAACACGCACTATCCAGAACCAAACACATCTACCCCCCCCCACCCCAAGTAAATCAAAGACACCTCGTCACAGAAATCAGAGCAGTGACAAGGAAAAAACTGTCACCGCCGGAAACATTCCCGTCTGCCAAGAATGATCTCAGGGATGCTTTTTTTCTTTTTTTTTTCTTTCCTCGTAAAAACATACGTGGTTTCGCTTAAAATGTTTTTCTTTTGAAATATTGGTGCGTGTGGAATTTGAAAGCGGGGTCTGCACCTTGACAGCAGTCTAACACATGGGTACGGAGAGAGATCCGAGTTCTGCGGCGCGCCATGAACAGACAGCTGTTATCCCCTCTCCAGTAAAGCTAACATAACACTCATGCTCCAGCATGCCGTCCCCACTAAGGTGCAAAAAATGCAGCTTTATGGCCGACACATGACACAGAGAGATGATGACATAGTAACTGACATGACGTCATAGAGATGACTAAGAAAGAGAGTAAACCATGCAGGATACAGCCCTGGAATTAAATGCCGAATGCAGTTAGAGAGGTGATTGGAATGAATGCATAAGAAGTGGTAGTCAAGAGTTGTTGCACTTGCAGATTGATGCAGTACATTCAGTTACACAAGTGGCCTTATCATAATGCCATGCGGTCAATGGCTAATCGCTTAATAGTTTCGTTCACCACCTCCCCAATCAATCAGTCAATCAACCAACCAACCAACCACCGGATTAGCCAATCAGGTTCTACGAGTCAGTCAATCGAGCTCCCTTCAGCAGAGGAGTCCTTTAATTAGCCGTGATTTTTAATTGTTTTTTTTTCTTATTCATATTATTTATTTTTGTTTGGACGGATGGGGGTGGAGGGGGGAGAGGGGGAGGGTAGGGGGGGTCATTCAAAGATGATGCCATGTGTACACGACTTACCGTTGCCAGGGAAACGGCGTGAGGACACGCGAGCAGTTACCGTGGAGACTGACAACAACAACAACATACAAAAATCATCAGGGAAATAGAGAAAATATATGTAAGAAAGAAATGATGAACCCAATTATTATTTTTTTTTTAAAGGAAGAAAAGAAAAAGAAAAAAAAGAACAAACAAAACGAGGTAATGAAAAGCAAACCCCCACCCTGTGGTAGAGAGGAAGTGATGTGACAGTCACCTACACGTATCGGCCGGGTCATAAACAGCTAAGACTCAGAAAACCCACCACGAACACAGATCAGAAAGGATTTGAGGAGGAGCAATCAAATGGGGGGGGGTAAATTCATTCTGGGGACACTACTCCTATATCTGACTAAATAAATCAGACTTAATCCCACTCTCCAAAGTTTATGCTGCCTGTCTGCAACCTGGAACAAGGAAATGGACAGATATTGGGTAGGAGGGGGGGTGGTGGTGGTGGTGGGGGTGTAGAGCAGAAATGTCGAGACAAACTGGGAGAGACAGACACTGACTGGCCTGGTGAAAAAGAGTGGAAAGAGATGGAAAAGAACCGATATAAGAAAAAAACAAAGGAGAGGAAACAACAGTTATCTATGGCATCCTCATCACTTCTTTCCCCGCCCCTCCTTTTTCTTTTTTGTTTTATTTCATCTCCGCACACCAACACACAGACTCAGAGAAGAGTGCAGACATTTAAAGAGACCATGCAGAAGAGACTTCAGCGGCAAGAAAAGAAAAAGCAGAGAAAGGACAAGAAAAGAAAAAGCAGTGACTTCAGATCGAGAGCCAGAGCAAATGGCAAAAAAGCATGATGCGTCGGATCTCCCAAGGCCATTTGCAACTGAGGGCTGAGCTCATGCGGACAAATGAAAAGAAAAGTCGTCACGACAAAATGCACTTCCATGAGATCTGGCGTTCTTTTTTTTCCAAGAGTGGTGGATGCAAGTGTGTGCTTCTTTTCTTTTCTTTTTTTTTTTTTAACCATCCATCTTGCAAATCCTAAACTCTTATTTTTTTAAATATATCTAGATAAAAAAAAAAGAATCAGAGATGACACCACACTTTTCTCACAGCAGTCCCCGCCCCATTCCGAACCTCACTGAAAATGCTCCCTTCATGCATCGATCTCTGAACACGGCAAACATCCAAAAAACTGTGACCCACCCCCCCAGCCGCCACCCCCTCGTGGAAGCCGCGCAATGTTAAAGTGAGAGTGTAAAAAACTCCATGGCCACATCTGACCTTATGTACCAACCATGCAACATTCAGTAGCCTCTCACAGACACCAGCAGGCACTTTTATTTCTCTTTTTTTTTTCCAGAGGAAAACAACAGAGGCTTTAAACTACCGGTCCAGTCGTAAAAATAAAATAATAAAACACAACCACAAATCAAAAAACAGCCACTCGTCATGATCATGGAAGAAGTGATGATGGGGGATGGAAAAGGTGCGGGAAAACAGAGATAGAGAGAGAGAAAGGGAGAGACAGAGAGAGAGAGAAAATCAAAAATCAAAAGAGAAGATCCTCCATGCTGTGACAGGAAGCGGAAATTGTCAGCAATCGTGTCGTGGGGGACGTCTCACCAGCCATGCCTGTTGTGTAGCCACTCCACCCAGCAAGCTTAGCAAACCACACGGCTTAAAGATCAAGGTGCAATGGACAGCCCACAACATCGACGGTAACATCGACAATGACAACATCAACAGGAAGTGCCGCCTAAAGAGACGCCGGTGCGAGCGGCGCCACTGCACCATGCCATAGTGAAGCCAAAGGGGGGGTGAGGGGGGGGGGACGGGGTAGAGCTGAACACAAAACAGCCGTCCGGCCGGAAACCTTCTCTGGGGCAGAAACAGCCATTATGTGCGCTTCTCTGTCACTGTTGGAAATGGAGGGGGAGACAGAGGAGAAAATGGCCACCGTTTCGAGGGTGCCGGCTTACCTCGATTTTGCGTCCTTCAACCAGCGTACCGTGAAGCTTCTCCCTGGCCCTCTCCGCATCCGCACTCGACTCAAACGTTACAAAACCGAAGCCCTGCGAGCAGAGGAGAGAGGGGGGTGGAGAAACAAAAGCAGTGGCAGAGAGGGAGAAGGGTATGAAAAAAGAGAAAGGCAAGAAGAAAAGAAAAACGCCAGTGAAGCTCTCGCCCCAAAATCTCTTTTTTTTTTTTCTTTTCTTGACAAACGCGGAGACGTTTGAGGGGCGACGTTTTTTGTTCTTTTCCTACCTTGGAGCCCCGCTCGTTGAAAATGATCTCCACGTCGAGGATTTTGCCAAATTGCTGAAACAACAAAGAGGATGAGGAAAATGAGGAGGCTGTGGAAGCACGGCACGCTTCACCACAGGGGGTCAGCACTGCTCAGCGCTGGCGAGCTGGAGCCCGGCCAGCTCTGGTCTTCTCCCACATCTTCCTAGTCTGTCCTCCTCTCAGCATGCGCCTCGGAAAAGGCTTTCCCTCGGACAAAACAGCCGCGCTCGAGGCCAAACCGTAACATCTGGTTTTAAACCACCGGCTGGCGGTTTGAAATTCGGAATAATAACAGGATTCCCGTTTTATTGATTCGTCTTAGCATAAACAGAGATGACAGAACCTTTATGTTTTATTCATCTATTGAAAAGCCACACTTGAGGATAATAAGACATCCGCTGGCTATAGACTGACAGATGAATGACAGTTAAATCCTTCTGGCTGTTGAATCTTTTTCGATTGTAACAATGCGCGGTGAAAAAGAGGAATTTTGTCTTTTTTGTTTTTTCGGTCGGCATACCCCAAACATCTGTCGTAGGTCGGGGTCTCGGAAGCGGAATGGGATGTTGGATACGTGGAGGCGCTTCGGGGTCCCCTTGGCGTCCGTGTCGTCCCCGGGGCCCCCGCCCCCGCCACCTCCCCCTCCCGAGCCAACTCCGGACTGCCCGTCGATCTGGGAGGACCCGTCGGACTGCAGGGCCGAGCAGACACAGGACCACAATGAGCACAGAGGAAGAATAGAGACTCACAACACTAAACGGCACGTCCTGTGCTCGTGTCAAAAGTCTCGGGTGGAACTCTGGCTAGCCTCGTCCATGATGGATTCGCTAATTCCTCTCCATCCGAAAGCTTTTACGGCGGCCCTCGCACCTGCCGATTATCAAATATTCAATCAGACTAAATGATCAGCACCTGGCTGCTCCGTGCCCGCATCGTCTCTAGAACAACAGTAAGGACGCATTTAGCTTTCCCCCGAACGCCGCATCCGGATTTTGGCCCAGATTGTGTTAAATAAACGATGATCGAGCTGAATGCGTCAGGGGGGGGGTTTAAATATTTTAAAAACAGAGAGCAGACACCCCAAAAATGCCAGTCAAAAGAAAAGGAGAGACGCAGAGATGAATAATTTCTGGTGGATGGGCTTTGTGTAGGTTTCTTGGCAAAATATCAGATTATCCTCCCAATTGGCAAAGGACATTAAAAGGCATAATTGAAAGGTTTTATTTTTATTCAAGCAATTTCTGCTTTGTAAAAACAGTAACAAGAAAAAAAATTCTCAAATTTCTCAACTATCTTTTTTTGCATTCATACTAATAGCATTATCCACATTAGCTAGCAACATTTAGATCTGAACCGAGTTCAGAATTGCCTGGAAGAAAACTTTAAATGATTGATGGCGAAAGAAGAAGAAAACAGTGGTATGCCTCTTTGCCTTTCGATGCCTTCTGTTAAAAGTTTGAGGGTAAAGATTGAAGAAGAGGTTGAATGTTTCATCTAAAATTCAAGAACAAGCAGTGAGGAGAATTTGGGTCATGGGGCAAGTAGAAACAAGATATTCGCACGACTTATAGACTGAACTTATAAGACTTCTTCCACAAGTGATTTGGCCTGCTGGCAATGACTGGAGGGTACCTCCAAACTCCATTTTCTAACCTCAGTTGTTCTTTTTATTAAGCGGCTGTCAAAAATCAATATTCAACGTGAATAGCATAGGTTTTTTTTTTAGTGTTTCACTTTGCGGGAGAAAAAAAGAAAGAAAAAGAAAAAAAAGGCCCTACTCAGTTCAGCACGGAGAGATTGAAAGATGGAGAAGGACGGGGATACTGAAAGCTGTCGTCTGCACGGCTCACCGCTCAAATTATTGGTATTAGCGCTTATTGCTCATTTCAAACTACAGTGTATAATAAACCTGTCACATGCGTCTTTCACAAACACCTGGGGGGGTGGGGGTGGAAGAGGCCGGCACTCACCTGGACGCTGAGGCTGCTGCAGGCGTTGGCCCCCCCGGTTCCTGCTCCACCGGCTTCCACGGGGCCCTGGACGGCCCCCGCCGCGTACAGGCTGCCCCCGTAGTCCAGGGCCAGGCCGTTCTGGGGGGGCGGCGGCGGGGGGGGCGGGAAGGCGGAGAAAGGCGGCGGGACGAGCCCCTCCTGACCGCCAGCGCTGTCCTGAGAGCCCTATGGACGGAGAGCAGAGAGACGTCTGAGGAGGGTGTGTGTGTGTGTGTGTGTGTGTGTGTGTGTGTGTGTGTGCGTGTGTTTTTTTACCGAGAGCATCACCTAAATGACAGAGGCCAGCTTCAGCCTAAAACCCCCTGCATGTGCGGATGCTAAATTTACCCATAAGTGTAAAAGTGTGCAGGCATCTGCAACCCCCCCCTTATTAAATATTCACTGCAGCCACATCTATTATTGAGGGTCAGATGCCTCCATTGCTCGGTGTGTTGTAAAACGATGAGTGTCTAATGCCCGCACGCGCTCACAAACGCCTCCGCACACAAACCACCTCTGACACGTGAAAACGCCCACGCACCTGAGCGCTCGCACAAAGACCCACCGCGAGTGTGGAAGCCCGCCCGCGAGCCCGGGTAGGGTTTTTTTTATTTGTATTTCTTTCTGCACACGACCGACCAACAACACGCTCGTTAAAGCTACCAAACGGTTAACCGCACGAGGTGGGGGACGTCTGCAAACGCACAAGCACAGGCGCGCACGGCCCTGCATTCCTCAGTACTGGCAGCGTGGCACGGATACCCTAAATGGCAATGGTTGGGAGAGGGGAAAGGGAGACAGCAGGGAAAGGGGGAGAAAAGGGGGGCAGAAGGGGGGGGGAGGGAGGGATGATAAAAGGTGATGACTGATACAAGAGGCATGGACTCCCTCTGATCCACAGATAAACCACCCGTCACTGTCTGTCAGAGCTATTTATAACTCCGACTAATAAACAGGGAATTTTTGTGTTGTGCTCAAGTTTTTTTTTTTTCTTTGTTGCATTTTAAATCCTAAATCTGGGCCCGCTAGAAAGCTGCTCCGGCTCCCAAATGACGAGTCTGTTCCGGCAAAAACAGCTCCGGAATAAAAATGGGAGGGGGGGTAATACAATGACTGCAAGCAGCCGGGGATATCTTTTTTATTACATTATACAATACGTTTTTTTTTTTTTTTTTTACAGCTTTGACCAAACTCCCAAGGTTTTTCCCAGCTTTATCTGCGGCCGAGCACAGAAATGGTCAGGGTTTGTTGTTCCGACCGACGACAAAAGCATGTAAGAGTACGGATGTCATTTCACCACGGCGCTGTCGCCGACATGCTGATGTTTAACGGGGCCTCGCTTTCTCTTTCCGGTTGAGTTATTATGCTGATGTTTTTGCAAATAAGCAAATGTGGTGCGTTCTAGTGAATCTTATGAAATCGTAAGCTAGTAGTTTGCCATTATTCAGTCTGGAACAGCCATTAGTTTCCATCTAGTGATGTTTGTAACTTGACTTGTAAAAAAACAAAAACATTAACCATCAATTGGAATTTCTACCAGAGATGGAAACATTAATTCTGCACTCGACTGAATGCACTAGCAAGGCCCTAACCAATAAACTAACACTTTTCCTTTTTTTTTTTGTCTCTGTTGGACCTGTCCATGTCCGTCTCTCATAAATCTCAGGTTGGGTTAGGCTATCGTAACATTAGAAATGCTCCACTATCAGTAACGCTGTTGGTAATGTTGCTAGTTCGTAAACTGTAACACCCGTAATGGCGCGGCCTATAAAGGGAAACAGCAATCAAAATGATTTATTAGCAGTAATAACCGCTTTAACCCTTTCATGGTAATACACCTGCCTGGTTGGAGTGCAGGAGTGCTTGTTTGTTTGCGCGCGTGTGTGTATTTGTGCACGCGCGAGCGCAGCGATGCCCATCCGAGCTGCACAATAGATCACTGTCCCTTTGGGAGAGTTAAAAGTGTGTGGGAGGATACGTGTGCGTGAGAGCGCGCCATCTGTCTCCCGGCTCCTGACCTCTCTCGGAGCAGCACCTGTGAACGCCGCGGTCCGGCCCGCCGACTCGGTAACAAACCGCGGTCGACCCGGATCGCCTCAATATTGTGACATAAGAGCGGCGTTAGGACGGCGGCATCTGGCAGACAGCGAGCTGGGGGGGACTTTCCCAGTTTATCACCCGCAGTACTGACACTAAAACAAAAAAAGTCTCAGTTTCTTCCCTTCCTTCTGCAACATTGGGCCATTCCGTCAACCACAAGAAGCAGCATCCTCATCTCCAGGCAGCTGTGCTCCTTTTTTTGTTTCCCGCTGATGCCGAGCGAAAGCAGACGGTATCAGCATTTCCAGAGAGAGAGAGAGGGAAAAAAAAGAAGAGGGAAAAAAAAAGCTTTGAAGCTAACCTTTAACGACTGCAGCACTGGTCGGCCTCTTGTGGTTTTAGCAGAGTAATCGCAACCAGAAAGCGCGTAGCCTCAGATTGGAGTTGGGAGATTGCAGTTTGATCATAGTCCCCGCTAACAAGCAGCAAATACGTGTTTGTGTGTGTGTCATCAATCTCGACACTGTCAGCCCCGCTGGGCTGGCAGGGCTAAGTGCCTGCTGCACACACACATCCTCTTTTGGTACACAAAACTACAAGGACCGCTCTTCCCCTCTCTCTGCTCGTCTGCCTGGGAAGACGTCTGAAACCGTTCTCTCGTTGCCCGGCGCCGTCCACGGATCACCGGCCCTGGCGCCCGACTTTGGCTCTATTCACGTTTTCCCCCGGCAGCTCATCTGAGCCCCACCGCATCCCGACTGAGATCCGACTGAGTGCCGACGTCCCTCGCATCCTCGCCGACAGATGCGCACGGCGCGCCTGGGCGGTCGCGCCGACTACGGCGGCTTCCAAGGACGCAGGGCGCCCAAAAACCGTCGGGCAGACTCTCGCTCGTTTTTCGAAGTTTTCCCAGCGCGGAGAAAAAGCTGCCCCCTCGAGGTGTTTTTCTTGCAATAATTCGATGCTCAACTGAATGAATGAACGCTTAAAAATAGACCAGAACATCATTAAAATGTGAGGAATTTTCGCCTTGTTGTATAAAGAAACCCAATCTGTTACATAACCGGTGGTAATAATGCGAACATGAGCTGCAATCCTCTAATGAGACGCTCTGAATTCATTACATTTGGTTCCCTCGCAGAGACAGAGACAGGAAATTTGTCAGCTTAGATGAGGCCTTTAACTGCATGGTGGGGGAAAGAAAAGAAAAGAAAGAAGAAGAAGAAAAAAAAAAGGAATCATTGTAACCCAAATGGAACAGCAGGTGACGTCACCTTGCATCAGCCCTGCACTCGCAGACAGGATAAAGATAGTGGGTGGAGAAAAGTCATTCTGGGTCACCAGGAAGGAGCTAACCTGGATTAAAAACAGGAATAAAGCAACGAGAGCTCCTTTGTGGAGCTGGAGAAGGAAAGCTGATCACCCAGTTTGTGTAAAGTGGTAAAATGGGAGAGGGGGGGGGGGGGGCATGATACACTGCCAGCGTTTTTCAGCCATGTTGTTTTGTTCGTTTCCTTTCTGCGGATTCAGTCTGAAACAGCCTCCAAACGCAAAGACGACACGAAAAAAATTTCATTTAATTTTAGTCTTCAGTGGCTCGCGACTGCGAGGTGCTTTTAATCCACCACTGAAACGTCTCGGGGCGAAACTCAGGGCCAGTCAAACGCTCACGTGGCTCAATCGTCTCATCAGTCCTTCCTGACGGGCAAATAACGTAAAAAGCGAGTGTAAAGAAATCGTTTCCCCCCGCCAAAAAATGTTGTTCTCAGAGGTTTGATTCCATGGCGCCGGGGCACCAAGCTCCAAAAAGCTCTGGGAACGGAGGGGCCGAGAAAAACAAAAAAAACAACAAAAAAAAAACGCGGAACATGAGAACAAATTGCTGGCTTAATGAATATAAAAACAAATAAGTGGCCACGTGCATGTGCGACTGAGCGTGGCCATGTTGTGTTTTCGTTTGTACAGCATCTGTGAGCTCCGTGTTCCGATTACCGGCCAATCGGTGCCCGCCAGTCCACCTCGATCTGAAGTCCAATGTGTTGAACGAACCGATAGGGGACATAATTTGGCGGCGGATATCTGTCGCGACTAATCGGCTGCTTGCGGCAAAACGAGCGTCCCCTCTGTTGTCCAGTCCCCAGAAGTGGACAGAATAGGCTAAATGCCGACGTGTAAAATGCTTTTGGGAATCCTTTAACCGAGCAGCCCTTCTTTGAGAACATCACTGACTAAAAGTGTGATGTCTGAGAGACAGATAAAAAAAACAACAACTCCCTTTTGACCCGTTTGTTGGGGAAACTTCCCTCCTGCCGCGCAGCGAGATGTTCGCACGCGGCTCCGGTGTTGTTGTTTTTCCGAGTCCCAACACTGGTGACTCATGACACATCTCACTCCACTACGGATGAGTCACTTCTCTGGACGTGGCGCGTTACACGATGGGACTTTCGACATCGTGCGCTCGAGGCCCGGCGGATCCGTGTCCTCGAGCGTTCGAGCGGGGATCAGATCGCCAGGGTTTTATCCTCGCCGTTGCTGCTGCTCACGCTCAAACTGGCCGCAGCCAGCAGGAGAACGGACTACCCCGGCTGTTCGGGCTCCTGCTGCCAGACAGAAATAGAAGTGGGAATACGTGCCAAAAAAACAAACCTCGTATTTGTGTTGCGCGATTGGCCTTTTTCAGAGGAGATCCATTTAGGCCGCCTTTCAGCGGTCCTCTCTTTTTCTACCTGATACGCACTCTCAATGGGCTGGTGATCTACACAAAGCCTGCGTGCATGAGTGGCGCTTTTTAACCCTCCGCTCCCCTCAACCCGCCGGGGCTTTTTCCGGGGGGCCTTTGCCCGGCTGCGAGTGGCCTTTGCGATTCACGTCGGGATAAAAGTGTCCCGCTGAATAAATACGCCCGGATACGGGGGATGAGAGGTGGGGCGCAGAGACTCGGGAGGGAGGGCATCCCTGGTCAATCGGGAGAAAGCGTACTGCTGAAGAGCGTGCGTCCTTTTGTGCGCGCACTCCCCCGGTGTTGGGGACGCTGAGGGGGAGTTGTGTAAGTGTATGTGTTGGCCGGTGACTCAGAGCGATAGCTGTAGCCGGCTCCTTTTCGGGTCAGTTAGCAGCGCCGAGCGCGTCTGAGGAAGGCACGTTAGGAAGCGCGCGGAGAGAGACGAGAGGAGCAAAGATGAAAAAAAATAAATAATAAAACACACGAGAGGAGAGGAGAGGAGTGGAATCATGGCTAACAGCGA